GTTAAATTAGTAAATAATTACCTTCAATTGTACGTTTTATCTCGTTATATTCTCGAAGGTACATGTTTATCGTTCATCAGTGACCAGTGCATTATAAGGATGTTCTTTACTCTACAGTATACATCTATATTTTACTACACTTCGAAGTACATGTATCAGATCTGGCAACTTGCCAGGGGCAAGAGCGTAAAGGTTTATGCCTGCTGTAAAAGCCGCAGTAATTTGCACGCAGTAATCTCTGGACATCGAAAGTAGACACATCGACTGAATAACTCGGAGACAGCGGGCTCAGAATACAGCCTGTATCTAACCCCGCCGTCGCCTATTTATCATATAGCGGACAAGAGGTTTAAAGCTTTTAATCTCTATTAGAACTGCTAGCTCTTTAACTACTGAGCCTTTGCCTAGTGATTACATAAAATTCAGTTTTAGTTCATTACTCTAGTTTTACTTTAAAAAAAGAACACGCAAACGTATAAGATGGAGTATGTTAGCCAGTGCTCATGAAGTACTGTAGAGCTTGCTTAGGCAATAAGAACTACTTCTATCATTTTAAAAGGTATGCGCAGAATGTTTCTCAAAATTTGAGAAAACTTCATTTACTGTTAATGCAACGTACGTGTGTAGCATGTATAGTATCAGCTTACATACGCAGATCTCGCTGGCAGTAGCCCGCTAAGGCCCTGGTCTAAGTAAACTTGTTCCGAGAATAGCAGAAGGGATTGGGTTGGATCAGAACGACTTTCAGGTCAGAGTACGTGTATTCTGGATTTGGCTCCGAGACAAGTGTCAGGTCAGGACGAGTTCTCAGTGCTTGAAGCCGGTGTACAAGTACGTGAAATCCAATGCAGTGTATGAAAGCAGAACACTATCTCATTTCCGCTCCACTCTCCTCCAGCTCAATGGACTCACACGACTTCAGACCTGCTCACACCGACCAACCCACGCTCCACGATGGAATTGTTCGGCTTCCGATATTGCCATCCATTTTGACAAGCTGACTTACTGCCTGATAATGTGTGAACCAAGAAAGCAGCACACAGAGTGGGCACTTGGAGCGAAATATACTGTGGCAGAGACAGCAAACTCGTTCCGACTTCAGAACACCTCCACAAGGTGTTCTAAGAACCTCACACAGAACGGTATAAACTCGGAACGCGTACCGAGAGTCGCTCTGCTCTCAGGGCCGTTCTTAACCACGCAATGCCATGCCATGGCAGAAATTAAAGCCAGATGATTGGCCAAGAATTTTTAGGGGTAGGGTGGAAATGCCACGCATGGCATAAGTCCCGTGCCACCAAAAGTGACTTTGCCACGGTGACATTAGGTAACTTTTTGAAAAACGGAGGGAAATCCAGTAAATTTGCAACAAAATGGAGGGGGATCTAGGCGCAATTCTAACGCTACTGCTAGCGCTCTTGCCGATCGTTGCTTTAGCTGCTGAATCGCGCCGCCAATGTCGACACCGCGTCCGGCTAGACTGGAAGGCACACGGAAGGCTACTAGTGGATGAGGGTCAGTTCCAGAAGTGCTATAAGATGTCTTATGAGTTATTTATGGCGCTTGCTACGAAGTTGGATCCATATCTACGTGTTGACGAAAAACAGTCTCGCAACAGGACTGGTGTTGAGCCGATAAGCCCCGTTAACAAGCTGCACATGTGCTTGCGTTGGCTTGGAGGCGGTTCGTACCACAACATTCGGGTAACAAGTGGAGTTAGCGTGTCGGCCTTCTACGCCAGCATCCATGAAGTTGTGGATGCAGTAGTCGACCATCCAGATCTACAGCTTCAGTTCCCTTCAACCATAGCTACTCAACGTTACGCTGCAAATCAATTTGAAAACCTTAGCAGCTCTCGTGTAATGAACGGATGCGTAGGAGCTATCGACGGCTGGTTGTGCCCCATACGGGTGCCGAAGAAGGACGAAGTTTCGAGAGCTCGCTCCTTTTTTTCGGGGCATTATCGACGTTATGGTGTTAATGGGCAAGCCTGTTGCGACCATCTAAGTCGGTTTACAGCCGTGACATGCTCTAGTCCCGGTGGAACTGGAGATGCGGTTGCGTTTCTAAAGTGGAGACTATCTAGCGTCGTTAGTAAGTTTCCAGCCGGATTGAACGTGGTTGCAGATGACGCTTACACCAACACCAACCAGCTCTTAACCCCGTTTCCTCGACCAAGAATATCAACTACGTTCCATGACAGCTACAATTTTCACTTGAGCCAACTGCGAATTAGAATTGAGATGGCCTTTGGTCTACTGGTGAGTAAGTGGAGAGTTTTCAATGCGCCGATGGAAATCGCCTTTAACAGAGTGCCTCGCACTATAATGGCTGCGTGCATCTTACACAATTGGTGTATCAACCGGCGGCTTCAAGAAGATATATTCTACCGAGTAGATAACGATGAGGACTTAGCGAAGGCGTTGGATGCAGCACTGGAATCGAACGATGCATCAAGAGATGTTACTGTTGCTTCGCAAGATACTTCAAGGTATCGTCAACTGTACGACTCCTCTGACTTACTTGTCGACACGGACATCTATAATTCTTCGGAGTGGATTAGAGGTGCTGTCGTCGATCTTCTTGAACGCGATACCATTTTGCGCCCGCAGTTAAATCAGGCCAGACGACGCAGAGAAGCACAGGAGCAGTGAATCCAACTTGCATGCATTAAATATCAAATAGGTACTGCTATTACCTTGTTGGTTCGTCCTCGTGATAACCACAAGATGTTCAATTCCCCGCAAGATAGAGAAAAAGCTGATGTTCACCCACACCAGACTTCACAACTAATCCAGCTCCGCCAGGCGGGATTCGTACTGCTGTAGTCGTTTTGTGTACAGCCCAAGGCTGTTCGTCAGTGCCACGTCGGTTTCTCCATTGGATACAGACGCACGTTAACTATTCTTCACTTGGGAGATCACTTGGTGAAGTTTAGCAATCCGGCCAAGTAGCATGTCTTCCTCATCAGTGTTTGGTGTGACGGCTTTAGTCGACGCCGCTGTTGAGCTCTGATTTCCGATAAGAACCTCAGCGATGCGATCAAAGGTCGTAAGAATGTTGTGTTGCCACTTAGCTGACTTGCGTGAAGAGCGATCGCCATTTGACGAGCGCTTCAAGTTCATCGAGTCGATTTCATCTTCCTCGTGCATGCCCCCTTTCACATACGACTCCAACTCTTGCTTCTGCTTGATGCAAACCTTGACATACGCAGCATCCAACTTCCATCGCAGAACTCGTAAAAGTCGTTGGAATTTTGGCCGGATACATCGAACTTCGAGAAGGCTTTGATGTATTTGGTGTTCACTTTCTTCCACATGTCAAAAAGTCGTGGTGCATCATGCTGGACGATGACAGAAGGGTCGATCCCGATGTAGCGAGGGTCATTGAAGGTGAAGAGGTCATTGTAATCCGTTGTGTTGGTTTGAAACTCCTTGGCTACTTCCTTCCAAAAGGACGTGTTCTGGTTTACCTCACCCGTGTCTATTTTGTCTCTCATTGCCGCGTCGTCGGATGAAGCAAGACGCGTAGCAAAACGGTCCGAGAAAAGAACATTGAGAAGTCGAATGCAGCAGTGTTTTGTTTTGCGCAAGCTTGGATCCAACAGGTTTTCATCGTCAACAGTTGCTTGAACTGCTCTACGTGTAGCATCGTGCCTCTTCAAATGTTCAACGAGCGCAAGCTTACCGAGCTTCCTGGACACTCGCAACTTTCTCTCGCTGCACTCCTTCCGCAGTTGAGCCACCGTCCACGACGCATAGTCCTCACATGTCGGCGTCGGGACCGCTCCCGGATTTTTAACGGTCCAGTTGCGTACTTGCATTTCAATACGGTCAGCGGTGACACCTTGGCTCACCGGTTGTGAATCGTTACTACCAGGCTCCGGTACACCACGTTCTTCGGCATTTGGAAGAACAACAGCGCGGTCGCCATCCTCCGTATAAATATGTTGTGGATAGTTAGATCGGGGTTTGCTGACTGCAACATAGCAGGCATTTCCACCATTAATTTGGGTGCCACGGTCCGTTATATCGATCACGTTGCGCGCACCAGGAGCGCAGTACCCACTGCACTATCTTCACTAGCAGCACGGTCTCACTAGCAGCAAAGGATCCACCAGCAGCAAAACCACCTTCAGCAACGCAGTTCCCAGAAGCAACATAGCATTCGTCAGCAACACGGTCTCCGTCGATGCCATTGGCATGGCGGTCAACAACATGGTCTCCACCAGTAGCACGAGTGACCGAAAGGCCTACGCCAGCGACATGACCAGTAACGGTACCAGCAACATGATCTCCGTCACCAGCAGCACGGTCTTCACCCGAAATATGGCCTGCAGCATCAACTACAACACCGCACCAACCTTTACCAGCTTCGCAAGTCACGACCAACAGAGCGAGCTCCACCTGCAACATTAACCCCACAAAATGCAAGTGGAGTGGACACAACGCCAACAAACTCAGAGGAGGGTTTCCTGAGAGCATCTACAGGTGGCGTACCGCTTGCTGGCATGACCTTGACGCGCTTGGGCCGACCAATTTGCGCGCCTGTGGTCCTCTTCGCGCTCTTGCCGCTGCCGGGCATCTTCGTTTCCTTTTGGCCAGCAAGATTTGTTTTGTTTTTCTTTATCGTAAAATTTTGTTAAAAAAATATATATATTGGTGGCAGTTGCGTTCCTAACGAAAACCTGCCACACTGCCATGACGCTGCGACAAGTATGCCATGGCATGGCACTTATGGCAGTGGTTAAGAACGGCCCTCAGCCAATCAAAAGGCAGAATTTTCAGAACGAGTTTCGGTTTTTTCTACTGAGACCAGGGCCTATTATCCCGGCCAAAAAGGCTTGGACAAAAATGGTAATATATTTTATCTTAAATTAGAGGAATGTAACTCCGCAACCGTAGAGCCGATTTCGTTGTGTGTCCCCTTAATAGATAGCTTGGTGTCTATTTATTCTCGTAAGAACTTCACAGCATCTAATAATGTTCACTACTTTTCAAATGGTCGCCGGTAAGAAATTGACTGCTGCTGAGAAGTACTTGGTTGTGAAGACCTACGAGTTCCTCTGCCAAAAGAAGGCCTCTGCACCGCATCTATGGAAAGGAGGAGTTCGTTATCATGTCAAAGAGTGTTTAGGCTTTGCTACGGGCACCATTTCAGCTATATGGGCGCACTGGGAGCAGCACCACGACAAGAATTTCACCTCGGTAGGCTGTACTTCATATCATTTCAGTTATTATTGATATTTATCATTTCAGTGGTCGACAAATTAATTATGACAGATGGAAGGTCCAAAACCATCTGGGAGGCCTCCAGAAATACGAGACAAAATATCTGCAGCAAGGTGATGAATGCGAAATTGCATCGGAACCAGAGGGCAGCAACGAGGACACGGAAGAGGATGACGCCGTCGATGACAATGAAGCTGTAGCCGATTAGGAATATGAACGGGTGACCCGTTGTATGTTCTTTACACTCTAGATATTCTTTTGACGGGTTCTTTTTAACAAGTTTATAATTTTCTAACAATCGTCAAATTGCGGTAATATTTGGAATTTATCCATCCGGTTCTGAAAATCCCCACCTGTTATCCCGGCTCTGCCAATGAATATGCATGCATGTTAGTACGTGCCAAGCCCACAATTGCAAACAATTCTGCAAGATATAGAGCCTTTTTTAAACGGCCGATTGGGAGATCAATGGTTGCAGATACGCAAAAATAGACCTCAAAATCGGAATCTACGCCCGATTTTACCCCTTATATCTAACTATCGTTATGGGTTTTGTGAAGGGAAGGGTTACCTTTTTTGGACCAAAGTTTGTCCAAGGTTTGGTGGCCGGGATAATACTACCATGTAGTACTGTGTTCAATATTATAAGGAGTAATAGTCTTCAGCGTGGTACTATAATTATTTTAGGGTACTATTTAAAATACCTAATTTTCGATACTACTGTAGCTTCAGTATAGATCTGTCTCGTCAGTATTGTGGGATCTATC